AGTCTCACTCTGTTGCCCAAGCTGGAGTGCAGTAGCATGATCTCAACTCACTGCAACCTCCGCCTCCTGGGTTCAAGCAATTCTCCTGCCTCAGCATCCCGAGTAGCTGGGATTACAGGTGCCCACCACCATGCCCGGCTAATTTTTCTATTTTTAGTAGAGACAGGGTTTTGCCATGTTGGCCAGGCTGGTCTCAAATTCCTAACCTCAAGTGATCCGCCTGCCTCAGCCTCCCAAAGTGCTGGGATTACAGGCATGAGCCACTACACCCAGCCTAACCTATTCAATTTCTAAGTTTGTGATTTAAGCTTCAGTGATATGACATATACACTAATTTATAATTTTTCCTTGGATATCAATAGTTTTCTTTTTCCTAAAAACCAGTACAAAATAAATGAGTAGACAATCTATTTTTTAATTTACTGAAGGCTACACACTCAAATAAGAAACTAAAAGACTTCAGGTATATTTACAATATGAAGAAAATCCAATGGTGTGGCTGTGTGAAGATCCCAATTCAACTTATCCAGAATAATTCTCTCCATTCTCAAAATTTCAGATGAGAAACATCCACAGAAACTGTCTCTTGCCAATACCTTTAGTACTGGAATTCTCTATTCAAAGCAAAGGGGAACAGGGACAGGGAGAAAAGGACAGAAAGAAACTCATTTACGATTTTTGTTTTGGCAAACAAGAAGCAAGTTAATGGAGAGAAATTTTCACAGAAAAACATTTTGAAAGGATTTATTACCTCATCTTCCTCAACAGTCTTGGCAGCTAGGAAAAAACAGCTGATTGCAATACAACTCAAGTATTTCGGATGAGCCTAAAATTTTGAAGAGGGAAAAAGCAACTTTATTGATTTTTCAAAAATGGTTGAACTTTTTATAACTGTTTTAAAAACAGAGATATACAGATGAGACAGGTATATACAAAATGCTATGGAATTCAATTAATATGACTGTCACTGCTTTTTAGATCAGAGCTAACTTTTTTAAGAATAGGAAAGAAGTTTATTGAAAAGCTTTAGAGCAGTAATGAAAGCAAGGAAAGTACACTTGCAAGATCAAGTGTCTCCAGGGCTAACTTTTAACATTACAATCCTAGCCATATGATATTCTACAAAAATAATATAAATTCCATTGCTCAAAGTTCAACCAAAGCCAGTTAGCCAAAGTTCATTTCCATCCAGCAGAAAAAAAGTCTGATTTAGAAGTTTTTAATAATATTCCCCAAATTAAAAAATATATTTTCTGTGTATGTAGACATTTTTTAAAGCTGCTTGCAATCTGGGATATCTGAAAAATGCCTACTTTTATCTCAGCAACAAGTCCACATCACTCCTCCCTCCCTCTCCACTACATCTAACCTACTTTTCACAGATAATTCCACAGAAAGATGAGTTTAAGGTTAGTGTCCTTTCTGGGACAGTATATTTTTCAAAAACTATTAGTGAACACATTGTTGTAGTTTCTATCATGAGATTCTTGCTGTGTTTATTAAACATTTGCAACAAAGTTGGGGAAATTTCTGGAACAATTAGAGAATTCTGCTAAGTATCTCATTTTTTTCATATTTCTTATTTATTGGGTCCTGTCATGTTTAGTAAGTCTCTTAAGAGTAGAAGTTTGAAACTCAGCGGCTATTCAGTCTTAAACTCCTTAATTCTTTGGCTTCTATTTTGTATACCTAATAAAGCATTTTAATTGACAGTTCCCCCAGTTTACATATTCTTATGCATACTAATGCCTACAGTTAAAATACTTTGCTACTCTTTCATGCCTTGCCATTAAATAAATGCTCATTTTCTGCTTTAAATATGTTGAGGGCCTACTTACTAACTTGACACAGCCAATGACATAACAATGGGGACAATATAAAACCTAATTATTTGTATGCTGCCATTCAACACAAATATACCAAGGTTGTTTTATGACATTTTGTTATATCCCAAAGTATGCCCATAGAAAGCACTTCACATTTTTCAGAAAGCCACATAGTATGGATATTCAATAAGTAGTGACAGAGAAAAACGTGCAATAAGCTTATACTTTAGTCTGATTCCTTGTCCACCTCTGTACATCAATATGTTAGAAAATGACAAAATATTCAGCTGATGCTATATGGTTTGTGCTAAAATCAAGAGATAGAAAATTTCATAGGCTAAAAAGTTATGAATACTTGTAACAAAAAGAAAATTACAGAATACAATTAGAAACACTTCCAAAAACACTTCTGCTTTTTAGTAGAAAGCTAGGAGCGGTAGCTCATGCCTGTAATCCCAGCACTTTAGGAGACCAAGGCAGGCTGATCACTTAACATCGGGAGTTCAAGACTAGCCTGGCCAACATGGCAAAACCCTGTCTCTACTAAAAATACAAAAATTAGACTGGCATGGTGGCACGTGTCTGTAGTCCCAACTACGTGGGAGGCTGAGGCACAAAACTCACTTGAACCCAGGAGGCAGAAACACTCCAGCCTGGGCAACAAAGTGAAACTATCTCAAAAAATAAAACTAAAATAAACAATAGCAGAACACATCACCACGTCTTCTTATGGGTACATACATCATTCTCCAGCAAAGTTCTCCACTTCTTTCTACCTTAAAGAATGTTTACTAATAGCTTCTGGTTTAGCATATGTACACTCAAATGAGGTTATATGTAAGTCTATCTTAAAACACTTACCTTTACGGTAGCTAAAAACCTGTCCAAAAGACTGCTAGCCAGAGCAAATGTTTCTGGGTAAAGGTTGAATTGGTACTTGAGTTTGGCCAGCCATTGAATTACTTCATCTCTCTGGGATGGAGAAACATTCTATAAGGAAACAATTTTAAAAACATAAGACAAAGTTTGAGCTATCATCAAGAGTATGTTTAGAATTCTCTCTCATAAAAAGTGAGGTAATACTACCTCACTTTTATGTTTAAAAATGTTTAAAAATGTTAAGGTTATTCACAATCTATCAGACTTGAGACAGATGAAAATAAAACTTTATTGGTTATCACATTTAATATCAATATCCAATATTCTCCTACTATATTAAAATTTTCACTGTCATCTCACCAAATATCCATAGTTTAATTAAATTTAGGTGTTCAGAAAATATAACACTTTAAAGTTTAAGTAACACTATTATCAACTGATAGTAATTTTGGAGTTAAGTTTCCCCAACTCTTAAGATTAAGAAAATATAGTGAATTTCTCCCGCAGCAAATAGCCATTAACTTATCTTAGGAAATATAAATGAACTATGATAATGGAAACGATAGCCCATTTAAAAAACTAAAATCAATAGTAATAAGTGAAAGATACCAGGGACAACAGATGAATTATACATTTAGAGATGATGAAAAAATTGAACAGGAAATTAACCTGAAGTAAATTACTTCAGGTTTCAAACAGTTTGAAAGAGCTATAAGGAGAATACTCAAATAATATATAGGAAGATTAAAACAACAACAATGTTTTGTGTTTGTGGAAATCTTTCAAAAGTCATTTACTTCAGGTTGATTTCCTGTTCAGTATTTTTTCATTATCTCTAAATGTATAATTCATCTGTTGCCCCTGGTAACTTTCACTTATTACAATTGATTTCAGTTTTTAAATGGGCTATCATTCTGTTATCATAGTTCATTTATATTTCCTAAGTTAACCATAGTAAGCCTACAATGGTATGGAACACTAGAAGTTATTCCTCATATCTAGCTGTAATTTTGTATCTAGGCTACTTTAAAATCTACTTCTGGACTAAGGGTTCATAAAAATCCCTGAGAACCAAGTAAAGCCAGTCACAGGACTTCTGGATGAAGAGTTAAGCATTCAAGAGAAATTAAATTCCTATCAAGATGAGCTTTTATCCAAAATGCCACAACGAATGAGGAAAAGTAATGTTAAGTAAGCCAGCCAAACACATCAACAACAAGGCAATAAATTCCCAGGAGACGTAGGTGATGTTATAAACTGATGAAACTGGGGAGGCTTTAGGGAGATGAAAGGAACAATGATTTACAGTAGCTATGAAAACAAGAACACCATTAACTCCAACCTTCAGGTAGAGATACGATGTGGGAGAAAAAAAAAATCCCTGAATGACAGATTACATTAAACAATGTCATTATTTGGTGTTTGGCATTAAACAATAACAGAAACATACAATTGTAAGAAGAATCACAAAAGGTAATATACAAGAGAATACAGTTATATGGAGATTATCATATAGTTGTAACTAAATGACATAACTTATGTAAAGCACATATATAGAATGCAAATGGCACTCCAATTTTATTAGTTCTCCTTTCCTACCTCTGAACTACCCAATTATCTAACAATGTCAGAAAAACAAATTTACAAAATATTATACATGAATAGTTATTTTAAACACTGGAACAATTAGTCATGAAAGAAATCATGACAATAACTTTGAACTTTAATATTCCATATATATATCTTTTTGAGACAGGGTCTTGCTCTGTCACCCAGGCTGGAGTACAGTGGCACAACCATGGCACACTGCACCCTCAACCTCCCAGGCTCAAGTGATCCTCCCACCTCAGTGCCCCCAAGTAGCCAGGACCAGAGGTACGTGCCACCATGCCCAGTTAATTTTTTTTTTTTTTTTTTGAGACGCAGTCTCGCTCTGTCACCCAGGCTAAAGTGCAGTGGTTCGATCTCAGCTCACTGTAGCCTCCGCTTCCTGGGTTCTAGCAATTCTCCCTGCCTCAGCCTCCCAAGTAGCTGGGATTACAGGCTTGTGCCATCACGCCTGGCTAATTTTTATATTTTTAGTAGAGATGGGGTTTCGCCATGTTGGCCAGGCTGGTCTCAAACCCCTGATCTCAAGTGATTCGCCCGCCTCAGCCTCCCAAAGTGCTGGGATTACAGACATGAGCCACTGCGCCTGGCCTAATTTTACTTTTTGCAGAGACGAGATCTCACTATGTTACCCAGGCTGGTCTTGAACTCCCAGGCTCAAGCAATCCTCCCGCCTTGGCCTCCCAAAGTGTTGGGATTACAGGTATGAGCCACTACGTTTGGCCCATATACCACATACTAAAATTTAACAATACGGCCAAGAAAAGAATTCCCACGTGGCCAATGTTATCATCACTAGACAAAACTAGCCATAACTTTTTTAAAACCCAAAAGATAACAGTTTAAGAAGACTCAATTTAACTGAAGTAATATTGAGTCTAAGGTAACTTTTTCAAATCAATTCAAACATGTACTAAACAGTAATATTATCATGACAGCATTACAAACAGTAAGTTCTGTGCCTAAGTAATTCATTTCACTCCTATTCCTCTGTCATTTCACTCCTATTCCTCTAAAATAAAGAATGAGAGAGAAAAAGAGAAAGCCCAAAACAGTATTTCCTGATTTCATCAGGTGAACTGTTTCTCATATGGACTGCCCAAATAGGATTAGAAGGATTCAGTAGCTGAACAAATAATCCTAAAGAGAATTTATAATGGATTGATCAAACATGGTAAAATATAGACTGCTATTAATATATATTCTGTATATATATTATATTCCACATGCTGCTAGTCTCTTCCTTATAATATACCACCTCCCCCGCTTTAAACTCTAAAAGGTTCACCACTACCTAAAAGATTAAGTTCAATTCCCCAGCATGGCATACAAATCTATGACCTACCTCTCTAACCTCAAACATCTTCTATCACTTTGTCTTAAACTCCATGCTCTAAGAGTAGTAACTTCTATTTATGATCCTTCCTTGCCCCTGCTATGCTATTTTACATCACTGCTCCTTTGTTCGTATTGCTCCTTCTGCCTGGAACGCGCTCCCTTCTCTATCTCACCTGCTTTATTATGTATTTCTTGAGAGCTATTTTGATGTTACTCCCCACCAGGTACTTTTCCTGATAATTCAAGTTGGGCTAAGTACCTTCCTATGCTCCAACAGCATCTCATTACACCTGTGACGTTCAACATTTTTTTAAAAATTAAATTTCTTGGCATGCCTCACAATTGTAATCCCAGTACTGTAGGGGGCCAAGGCAGGAAAATTGCTTGAGCCCAGGAGTTTGAAACCAGCCTGGGTAACACAGTGAGCCTTCTTCTCCACAAATAAAAAAATTAGGCGTGGTGGTGCGTGCCTGTGATCTCAGCTACTTGGGAGGCTGAGGTGGGAGGATCACTTGAGCCTGGGAAAGAGAGGCTGCAATGAACTGTGATGGAGCCACTGCACCCCAGCCTGGGCGACAGAGTGAGCCCCTGTCTCAGAAAAAAAAATAATAATAATCGAATTTTTGCTTTTGGCTTTGATGAAGTAGGAAACAGCAAACCAAACTCCAGATGAGAATGACTAGAAAAGTTGTTAACAACCTGTTTTTTAAGATTCCTTAGAGTTCTAAAATTCTACTGAAAATCATCTGTATATAAACAATTTGTGGCAGGGTTTTATCTTTGTAAATCAAAAGCACTTTGGCAAAATAAATTGAGAACACCTGAAAGTGTGTACACTTTGACCAGTTTCAATGTTTTCCCCAAATTCATGTAACAAAATTATCATGAACTTGAAAGTACAATTACATAATATAAAAGAAGTTGTCTGCAAGTGCCAAGAACACAGTAAGGTACCTGAATGAATCATAAAGAAATGATAAACACCATTCACTGAAATGCTTACTTTCAGTCGATTATATGCAAGTAAACAAAAATGACACAACCATACCCCTCAAGGAACCTCACAATCAGATCACCAGAAAATTATAGTACTTTGTGCTATCATAAGGGAAGCAGAATGTGGCAGAAACACATAGAAGATGAGTGATAGGTATATAATATTCTTGCCTGACCACGCTGTCCTAAATTAGGGGATAGGCGATGCAAATTAAACAAGAATTATGTGAGAGACTGACTTCAAAATATAGTCGGGGCAGGGGAAGTTAGAAGGAAACTGGAGGAAAAAGGCATAAGAGAAAGCTTAAAAATACCTTATTTTTACATTTTTACCAACACTTCAAAACAAAATTAGAAAAGTCAGAGCAACAGTGGAAAGGGAGGTTAAAAAAAAAAAAAAAATGCCAGTCCCTTAGAAGAAAATAAAAGAGTTAGAACTAGAATAGAGAAGTGGCCGAATGCGGTGGCTCACACCTGTAATCCCAGCACTTTGGGAGGCCGAGGCGGGCGGATCACAAGGTCAGGAGATCAAGACCATCCTGGCTAAGACGGTGAAACCCCGTCTCTACTAAAAAATACAAAAAATTAGCCGGGCGTTGTGGTGGGCGCCTGTAGTTCCAGCTACTCAGGAGGCTGCGGCAGGTGAACAGAGTGAACCCAGGAGGCGGAGCTTGCAGTGAGCTGAGATGGCGCCAGTGCACTCCAGCCTGGGTGACAGAGCAAGACTCTGTCTCAAAAAAAACAAAAAAACAACAACAAAAAATTGAATAGAGAAGTGTCCCCTGGGGGGTTACCCTGGCAAACAACTCAAGCCCCTATATAGCCTTTTACCCTTATTCTTATCTCCTATCCCCACCAGACCAAGGCTACCCAAATTTTATAAGTATTAAATACGACTTCTACTTGGCATTACTAAAGGCAAATCCTGAAGAAGTGGGTCTCTCTCAGAAGTTCTGATACTATTCTGTTCTCTGATATTACCACACCAGTATTTGTTAAATCACCTACAGAAATAGGCCAGATTTGGGCATGGTTGCTCACGCCTGTAATCCCAGCACTTTGGGTTACTGAGGCAGGCAGATTACCTGAGGTGAGGAGTTCGAGACCAGTCTGGCCAACACGGTGAAACCCTGTCCCTACTAAAAATACAAAAATTAGCCAGGTGTGGTGGCGGGTGCCTGTAATCCCAGCTACTTGGGAAGCTGAGGCAAGAGAATCACTTGAGCCCAGGAGGCCGAGGTTACAGTGAGCTAAGATCATGCCATTGCACTCCAACCTGGGCAACAAGATAAAAACTCCTTCTCCACCAAAAAAAAAAAAAAAGAAAGAAAGAAATAGGTCAGATTATTTGGTAATATAGCAATATACTACAATCTAGGTAGAATATCATCTTCAAAGACCAGGCTGTAAAAACATATTATTGTTGGTTACATGCTGACTCAAGGAGATAGCAGAAGGAGGAAAGGAATGGTCCTACAAGCAGCTACAAAAAAGCTTTGAGGCTCACTAGAATGTCACAACATAAGGGAAGGAATTTCTTTTCTCCTGTTGTATCCCCAGTGCCTAGAATAGTGCCTAGAGTATGGCAGATACTCACCAGACATTTGCTAAATAACTTGAATTCCCAACTAATCTAAAAATCACATATGCACACAAAAATATAAAACAACAACAACAAAAAGTATCACAAGAAGAGGACTACCTTAGGAAAAGGATCAAATTATAACTTTTTTTTGAGATGGAGTCTCACCCTGTCACCCAGGCTCGAGTGCAGTGGTGTGATCTCGGCTCACTGCAACCTCTGCCTCCTGCGTTCAAGCAATTCTATGCCTTAGCCTTCCAAGTAGCTGGGTCACAGGAATGAGTCACCACACCCAGCTAATTTTTGTATTTTTAGTAGAGACAGGGTTTCATCATGTTGACCATGGTTGGTCTCGAACGCCTGACCTCAGGTGATCTGCCCACCTCAGCCTCCCAAAGTGCTGGGATTACAGGCGAGAGCCACTGCGTCCAGCCCAAATTATCATTCTATTACTATCATTCTATTAAAGTCTTGAGTAAATTGGGACTACTGCCTACTTTTTCAAAGGATTAAATGAGATATTAAATGAGATAGTGTATGTATAAACACTCCACATTCCGGTTAACTAATCAGTTTGCAAAATGACAAGTAACAGTAAATGAAGAATGTATTTCTTCAGCTTGTGGGAAAGAATGATATAAGTTGGAAAAATTAGAATTGAATTAAAAAGGCATATATGCTTGCTTTCAAAACCAATGAGCAAAGGATAGCCTAAAACAACACAGGAGGAACTTACATATTTGCCATTCGTTCACTAATGCATATTAAAAGAACATTTGACCACTATTCTATTTTCCAAGCACCATGTTAGATATTAAGAGTAAAAGATATATAAGACATCTTATACGATGAACTTTTGGAGTGGATAAACTTCACAGTTATTTGTGAAAAATAATTATATACGATAGAAGTATAAAAATTTCTACAAGAAAAACTATACAGCCAACAGTAGTTAAGAGGCCAGCTGGCTATCTTCTAAAAAGCTTCCAACATTGGTATTACCTTAGTAGTTCACATGAACTCCTTATCGCTACTGATGAAAGAGTAGGTTTTTGGTTGACTAAAGACAATGGTATGAAGATGTTCAGCCTCTGGCTAACTATAAACTATGTATCTAAAGAAGGTTACTACTGTTAGTATAGATTATGAGGAAAGAAAACGAACTTAACTATATTCCTAAAGCTGTAATTCAGATAACAACAAAACAGGTCAACAAACAAAAACAGTTAACTCTTGTTTCAGAAAGAAACGGCTACAGTAGGAGCAGGAGTTTTTAAAAAAGAAGAGGCTGGGCATGGTGGCTCACGCCTATAATCCCAGCACTTTGAGAGGCCAAGGCTGGTGGATTGCTTGAGCTCAGGACTTCCAAACTAGGCTGGGCAACATGGTGAAACTCCATCTCTACCAGAAATACAAAAAATTAGCCAGGCATGGTGGCATGTGCCTGCAGTCCCAGCTACTCAGGAGGTTGAGGTGAGAGGATCGCTTGAGCCCGGGAGGCGCGGGATGCAGTGAGCTGAGATCATGCCACAGCACTCCAGACTGGATGACAGAGTGAGACCCTGTTACACAAAAAAGATACAGGGAGATGTCTCTCAAATATAGCACATCCTTAAATGGTACAAATTCCTCCAATGCAGTGTCAAGATATTATTATGTATGGCAGTGGTATGCTTATTTCTAATAAAATTAATCGGTCTTAAATCATTACCTGATTTGAAGGCATTTTCCGCACATTCACTTTCCACATCTGCGCTTCCCTAGTGATTGCCTTTTCCAACAGGAAAGACAATCTCTGGTTTTCCAAAGGCCCTGGAAACTTCATGATATCCTTTGGATCTGCCTGCTAGCCAGCTTGATGTAGCTACCTACAAAATCAAATATGTTTTAAAATTAGTTACAGAGTAAGTGTAGCATTATATAAAGTACTTATTAAGCAACTCATAAAACAACATAAGAATGCTATGAGGCAGTATAGGATTTTACAGCTCTTTAAAATATCATATTAAAATACCAAAATAATCGGTTATCTAAAACATCCACACTTTAAATCTGAAATTCAGTTATAAAGAGAATAAAAACAAGGCCATGTAATTGATAGAACCTTTGGACCTTGATCAAAAGATGTTATTAATGTTTCAAATTGTCAAAACTTTGTCACTGACTTCTTCACCAGGAATTCCTAGAATTATTTCAAACATTCCTCTTAAAAACCTAATCAGACAAGGGCCACTAACATTTTTCCTTCATTAAAAAGAGAATATATCAATTACATTAAATCCTACTCATTCCCACTTTTTCAGTATGAAATCATCTTAAATTGTGCTTCCAATTCCGTATCCATCAGCTACACATGTAGATATTTAAATATGAGCTGAATAAAATTTAAAAACTGGCCAGGCGTGGTGGCTCATGCCTGTAATCCCAGCACTTTGGAAAGCCAAGGCAGGTGGATCACTAGGTCAGGAGTTGGAGACCAGCCTGGCCAACATGGTGAAACCCTGTCACTACTGAAAACACAAAAATTAGCTGGACATGCTGGCGGGTGCCTGTAATCCCAGCTACTCGGGAGGCTGAGGCAGGAGAATCCTTTGAACATGGGAGGCGGAGGTTGCAGTGAGCTGAGATCACGCCATTGCACTCCAGTCTGAGCAACAGGGTGAGACTCCGTCTCAAAAACAAACAAACAAAAAAACTTATTTCTTCAGTCACAATAGCCTTACTTCAGTAACCACATGTGGCTAGTGGATACTGTATCGGACAGTGCAGAAAAGGAACATTCCTATTAATGCAGTAAGTTCTACTGAACAGTGCTCACCTACAAGGCTCCACAGTACAATGACTAGCACTCTAAAATGAGCAGCATGTCTAAATAGTAAGTTTAGCAGTGCAAGACAACACAGAGTCCAAGGGAAATGTCTCTAGGTTTTATGTTTATATGTATTTGGAGACAGAGTCTCACTCTGTTGCCCAGGTTAGAGTGCAGTGGTATAGTGGCTCACCGCAGCCTCGAACTCCTGCGTTCAGGTGATCCTCCCGCCTCAGCCTCCCAAATAGCTGGGACTATAGATGCACACCACCAAGCCCAGGTAATTTTTTTTTTTTTTTTTTTGGAGAGATGCAGTTTTGCTAGGTTGCCCATCCTCAAGCAATCCTCCTGCTTGGGCTCCCAAAGCACTGAGGTTACAGGGGTAAGCCACTGCATAGGCTTCTAGGTTTAGGGAAAAAAAAAAAAAAAGCAGCAAACTACAGACTTGAGGTTTGACTGTGTGTAGAAAATTGGATTAAGAAACTGCTAAAGAATGTGAAAAGGTGGCTGGGCACGGTGGCTCACATCTGTTAATCCTAAGCACTTTGGGAGGTGGAGGTGGGCAGATCACAAGGTCAGGAGTTCAAGACCAGCCTGACAAACATGGTGAAACCCCGTCTCTACTAAAAATACAAAACTTAGCCAGGCATGGTGGCAGGTGCCTGTAATCCCAGCTACTTGGAAGACTGAGGTAGGAAAATCGCCTGAACCCAGGAGACGGAGGGTGCAATGAGTCAAGATTGCACCACTGCACTCCAGCCTGGCGACAGGGCAAGACTCCATCTCAAAGAAAAAACAAAAAAGAATGTGAAAAGGCTCAGCTAGATTTGTTGAAAGGTAAGCAACTAAAAAGGTAATGAACTTCAGAAAAAAGAGTTTAAGAAAGTAAATAATATATCACAATATCTATACAGCAATAATAATGAAAATACTGGATAGATCACAGTATGATAAAATCACATTGGGAGGATGTGGAGACATAACTATGGATATTGGAAGAGAGTAAAATAAAAGCCACATCTTTACATTTCATAGTAGGAAATCCATAAATATCTCAAACTGAAATGTCAAAAAACAGCAGTAGAGCAAGTTATTTGAAAATGTGATGCTAAATAACGGGAGAAGCAGGAAAGAGTTGGGAGTAGTTAACCTCTGCGGAGTAAGAAAAGGGTGAGAAAGGCCTAGCATAGGAGAATGCTGGTTTTCATTATAAATTTCACTAACAATGTGACTTTCTCAACTACGTAACTGTATTACATACTTCAGATTCATGGGCTCTAAGAATTTTTTTAAATATCCAGAATTAACATGTAAAAAGTTCCAATTTTTTAAAAAATAAAAGATTTGGAAAAGCAAAAAATAGCAAACCACTTCTATAATTTCCACATTCTATCCCAACTCCAGCTCTTTCCTATGTACCACTTCACATATGCTACCTACTTGCTTCTCAACTTACTAGAGACTAATTCTGGTTAACTCAATTACGATTTTGTTAATTTTTGTGTCTTTAAACACCTGAGTTTTTGCAAATCTTCTATAATTAGCATAAAATATTTTCATACTAAGACGACAAAGGGTAAATAGAACAGAAAAAGAACTAATACTAATCCAAAAAGACCTATCTCAAACGTAATTTCTTCTAAAAACTCTTGATTCTTTAATCATGTCATAAAGCAGCTTTCCACTAACTCCCCAACTATGTTATAAATTCCTGGCCAGGTGCAGTGGCTCAGGCCTGTAATCCTAGCACTTTGGAAGGCTGCGGTGGGCAGACTGCTTGAGTCAAGGAGTTTGACGCCAGCCTGGGCAATGTGGTGAAACTCCATCTCCATAAAACATACAAAAAATAGGCAGGCGTGGTGGTGTGTGCCTGTGGTCCAAGCTACGTGGGAGGCTGAGGTGGCAGAATGGCTTGAGCCTGGGAGGCTGAGGTGGCAGTGAGCCAAAATCATGCCACTGCACTCCAGCCCCAGCAACAGAATGAGACCCTGTCTCTAAAGAAATAAATCTCTATGCAGTCACATCTGCCAATATCGTTTTTTTATTACTCACTGTGTACACAGCACAGTACTTTGATGAAACAGAGACCCAACCAATTGTTCCAGTTCCAACTACTGGAGCCCAAAACAAAAACATACAACCAAAAAAACTCTACCCCCACCTGCAACAACCCACTGTGTGTGGGGTTCTGGCATTTTCTTTTTTTATATACATCCTTGTTCAGAACTTTAACCTACCAAAATCTCATCTCTTTCACACCAGTATTTCCAATCTTTAAAGGGTGCTATCATGCACACCAATTCATCTTTTTCATAGTTGAAAACTTCGATAGCTCCTCAGGATATTTTGCCTCTTCTAAATTAGCTTTAGTTTTACCATAAATGCAATCTAAAATCATTGGCTTTTTTTTTTTTTTTTTGAGACAAGAGTCTCATTCTGTTGCCCAGGCTGGAGTGCAGTGGCACAATCTCGGCTCACTGCAACCTCCACCTCCCAGGCTCAAGTGATTCTCCTCCCTTAGCCTCCTGAGTAGCTGGGGTTACAGGCATGCACCACCACATATGGCTAATTTTTGTATTTTTAGTAGAGACGGGTTTCACTATGTTGGCCAGGCTGGTCTCGAACTCCTGACCTCAAGTGATCGGCCTGCCTTGGCCTCCCAAAGTGCTTGGATTACACGTGTGAGCCACCAGTCGTGGCCCTTGTTAGCTTTTTTTTTTGAAGACACCTCAGTATCAGTTCAGATATAATTTACGGTCAACAAAAACTGTTAAGAGACTTTCTTAGGTTCCTTGTTAAGCCAGCTTTACCCCTACCTGCCCTAACCCATTGTGTCTGGCGTTTGGGTACCTTCCTTTTTTGTTTTGACACATCCTTGTTCAGAACAAAATATTCTTTATAAAAAAGAAAAAAGGTCATCTTGTTATATTCCATCCCTGTTGCATACTGCTGAGATATTGAGATTCCAATTTTGTTGCCTTGGTACCTTTCTCAGATCTTCAACAATTTGGTGAGCAAGCTCACTATAATTTCTTCTAATGCAGATAGAAATATTAACATTAGAAATGGAATGTAGGCCAGATGCTGTGGCTGATTTCTGTAATTTCAACACTTTGGGAGGCCAAGGCAGGAGGATCACTGGAGCACAGTAGTTCAAGACCAGCCTGGGCAACACAGTTGAAAACCTATCCCTATATAAAAAAATGGAATGTAAACTAGATGACCATCTGTCAAGAGATATTTAGAAGAAACAGCTATTTGGGTCAAGATTAGACTTCACAGGTTCTAAGGTTTCTTCCAAACTCCTATTAAAAACCATAGAACTTTAATAATTCTTTCATGCCATTAGCTACAACCAAATGGATCCACCAGCCTTCACAAGCTATCCCAACAACTGACTGTCACTAGTGACTCAAGTTTCTTCACTAGATTTCAAGATTATTTTTAGAGGGTTTAGATGGGTAGAGAGAGAGACACATAAAGTAGAATCATGTAAAAAGAAGTAAATCAGGTTCAATGGATTCCAATGGCCTACAATTAAAGCCCTCAGTATGACTTTCAAATGTTTATATTGTAACAACTTTTTTTTTTTTTAAACAAAGGTATCTGGTTAAAGAGTCACATGGGAAATAAGAAAATACTTTGAGATGGGTGAAAATGAAGACATAACATACCAAAACTTATCAGATGCAATTAAAGCAGTGCTTAGAAATAATACCTGAAAATGCCTCTACTAAAAAACGGTATCTCAAATCAAGAGCCTCATCTTCTACTTTAACATAATGGAAAAAGAAAAGTAAACTGTTCCTAAAGCAAGACAGAAGCAAGGAAATATTAAATATTAGAATGGAAATTAATGAAGTAGAGAATACAAAAACAGCAGTGAAAAGTCAATGAAACCAGAAGCTGATTCTTTGAAAAGATAAAAATGGACAAACCTTTAGCTAGCTGGACTGACCACGAAAATACAGAGGACAAATTACTAAAATCAAGACTAAAGAAAAGACATTACTACCTACCTTACAGAAACAAAAAGAATTATAAAGGAATTTTATGAACAACT